TGCAAACGAGTTTCTTTAAATTCTCGGAATACTCTAGGATCCGCACCACATCTATTGCCTTGACTGCGTTCTGACACTCTATTAAGAATATACCGTAAGCGTCCAGGGCCTTAGGGTTATCCGGTTTGATCAATGGCCAATCCAGGGCCCGCCTAATGTAAGCAGTCGCCACCAACTCCTTGTCGCCATAACGCCTCTCCATTTCATTCAATGCCGTTGAATAACCAATGTCTGCTTCAAGACAGCTATACCCACTAACAATACGGTGTGCTTCTCCCTCGGTGAATTGTTCCAGATAGTTCAGCCTCTCGTCGTTAGTTGTAGTGTTACTCACTACTCGAGCCTGAAATTGACGTAGGAATCTGCGATACTCCAAAGGGTCACCTGAAAATTTCTTCAGGTCTGATGCAGGCTTACGTAACTCCCTAACAACTGTATCCATCTGTATCGATAACGAGGACGTCCCCGGCATGGAACCATACATCAATGCTAAGCTACCCTTATGAGTCCTGGCTTGCTGTCCCGGCTGTGTTGGGCTACTTACTGGTGTGGGAACATCAATACAGCCGGCAGAAGATGTGCCACCATTTACCTGACTCCCGTCCTGCGATCCGTGGTTGGCTTCAATATTTCCTGCGATGCCCTCATCATTGTGCTCTTGATTGACTGGAATATACTCTGGCGCGTCAAAGTTGAATGTAGTCCTGTTTGGAGTTGAAGCTGCTTGAGTCCCTGGTGGATACTCCGGAATAGTGTCCAGCTTAACCACGTCAAAGTCCCGTGGCATTTTCTGATCATTTAACTCACTCCTCTCCAACTCTTCCAAGACAGAAGCTCTAGCATCCGACACCTTTATCTCAGTTCTTATCTGAAATTCCTCTTCCTTGAGTTTCAACTGAAGCTTCTCCTGCTCAATCTGTTTCCTTTCTTCAAGAGCTGCAGCCCTGGCCATTAGCTCGGCCTTTCTCTGGGTTTCCTGTGCCTTGATCAACGATAGGCTGCTCCTACTTGAACGACAAGAGGATTCACCCGAGTGTGTCGTACCTACGGAGTTCCCAGATCTGGATTTTCCACCTGAGGGGGGAGCTTTATCATTTTCCAAAAACCATCTTACTAACCGTTCCTTAAATTCAGCGAAAGATGCCAATTCTTCTTGTAATTCTGCTTCGAGTTCCGTTCTTGTCTCATCTTCCACCAAATCGAGCCATGCATGATGAGATACTAGGTATTTCTCGTACTCGCGTAGCCAGTCTGAATGATGAGCTCTCATTACTGCCACTTCGGTATTGCTGCTATTAAGAACGGAACGCAATTTGTCGGTAACCGATGACAGACCTTGAGTATGTGCCTGCCTCTGTTCGGAAGCGGCCTTGACATTGGCCCGCGTGGCCTTGGGTACACCGTCCTGCTGCATTTCTGGATCTTGGAGTCCTTGAAGGCGTGAACCTATTTGCTTCTGAACTTGACTTCCAAATAGTCCACTACATGCGCCGAATGACCTTCCGATGTACTCCTTTATCAGTTAACTTGACATAATTTCTGACCTCCGATTGCTGAATCAGTCAGGCCTGGAACCGTGATGTACGTACCAGGACCGTGCCATGCACTACTGATATTCAATTAGAGTCCGCATGCAATACTGTTCACTTGAGAAGGCAGCCACCTCATAGAGTTTACTGTAACATCACTTGGATTAGACGTGCAAGA